CCCCTACCTCTCGAGATTCAATAAAATTGGGACTTGATAAATCTTGCTGTTAAGGAAATCTGTTCTAAGCCGAACCCTCGAATAATCTAGTTTCTGATTCCTGCGCGAAGATAAACAAAGCATCTTAATCTAGTAGGTATTCGGCATAAAGAACCGTACTGTTATTGGAATGCTTTTTTCTCACGGCCATGGGGGTCTTTGCTAAACTGTTGGAGACGGGCGTCTATCAAATCCTGACTAGATGGCTTCAAATTTCCCATTGTGCTTATTGTCACGAAAAACAAGCGATATCATGTCAATTTCAACGAATAGGACTAGTTATAGTGTTGAGCTTTATATATTCAAAGTCAAATGTTACACTACACATTTGGTGATAACTGCACCAACTCACGTTGCTTACCAATGTGCCCTGCAGAGGAGTTTCTATACAATAGTTCAAGGTCCCGAGGATGCCATGCCAAAAAAAGGAAAACTATTGGCTGGGATATTTTCCGCACTACCGGAATACTAGCGATACTACCGCATCCTACAGATTGAATGAATGATATGGGAAGTGCTGGACAAGATCTCACTCGTTGCCAATTCCCGTCTACATACACCGCTACAATGTAGTGTGCCTTCAGCTCAAGCATACCATCTTTCGAAATGTCCATAAGTATTGCGAGAAGTAGTTGCATCATACCCACTTATCCGCGAGCCCACGTGTCGTGCAACATGTTGGCCAGGGAAATTAGTGGACACGAAAGCCAAGTCACGCGTCTGATAACAGTCGCTGGCGCTGCTGCTTAAGGCGATTTATATGTCCTACTTATCAAGCTTGGACATTGAGGCTTTCAGTAGTTCTGAGATCTATCGGTCAAATGAGACACACTGAAGGTAAAAGACCTGTTAATCATAGAAGATTGGCAAGGTGGTGTGCTGATGGATCAGGTGTCATTCAGGACGTAATTGAAGATAAGATGGTTAACAAGAAAACAAGATAGAGGATGCTTTCGACCATTACCAGCATTCAAACTCGCGGTAATACCTGAAAGACATACGGCGAGCGGCAAAGCCCTCTTAATGCCATACTGTATGCAATACGCGGGCCAGTCCGGACCATTTTTTTCCGCGGTTCCCCGCCTTGAGCACCTTCCTCCGTGCCACTGACCACTTTGAATATCAAACGTGTTTTCATCATGAGTCCACGTAGCTCATATAGCCACCTCGAAATAGCCTGTTTCAACTACGAATCGGCGTTGGCTGCTGCGGATGGCGGCGCAGATCGCATAGAGTGAGTATTCGAGGTCCACCCCGAAAAGGAGTCTATGCTTCACTTTTACTTATTCGTGCCCGTGCCTCAATTTGACTAATCGTGATCAAGACTATGCAAAGATTACAATTCTGGTGGCCTGTCACCTAACACTGCAACCCTCGAACAAATCAAGTCTCAAATAACAATTCCTGTTTACGCGATGATTCGGCCACACGCGGAAAATTTCTTTTATAAAGAATTCGAGTTTGAGATAATGAAGATAACACTGAATAATTTGAAAGCCCACGGAGCTGATGGATTCGTCTTCGGGATTTTGAACCGATTTCCTCACAAGGCTTGCGATGGAGCGGAACATTGGATTGATGTATCCAGAAATAAAGAGCTTGTACGATTAGCTGAAGGTCGCCCTTGCACATTTCATCGCGCGTTTGATGTTATCCCCGAACTTCACTGGCCGATCGCTTTGGCGGACATCATAGATTGTGGGTTTGCATCGATCCTAACGAACGGAGGCCCATCGGGAAGCAAAGCAGCCGAGTGTGCTAATAAGTTAGCAAGTCTGGTGGCCTGGAATTATCCAAAGGGAAAAGGCAGCACCCAACAACGCGATCGTGCTCCAGAAATTATTGTTGGTGGGGGAGTGAGATCATCGAACATCCACATGCTTCATAGAGTGACAGGTGCTTCCGCATTTCACTCTGCTGCCCTTTTGAACTCGAACGAATTAGTCTCTAAGGATGAGGTGGAAAAGATGAAAGCCATAATATCACCGGGGGGAAGCTCATTGAAAGGATGAATCAATAGACAGATAGAAACATACGTACGGTCCTGGCATATTTGAACGTCTCATGATAAATTGTTTTTTATATCGCTTTGACTAACCAACTATTAAAATTGCTGAGACTTGATATGTATTTGCATGTTTTCAATAAAGCACCATATATCTGCGTGATCTCTCATTTTCAGGTATTTTTGAGCTATGTTCCTAGTCAGGTACAAAGATCACAGCGGACATTCTGCGATTTGGATTTACTAGCTCTTTTATATACCCAATGTCAGTGATGGATTTGAAGCGCTCTGTAAATTGGCTTCTATTTTTAATCTATGTCAAAATACTTTTGTAAATCATTCATGTTCAGAAGCGTGCACTACAGCAGTCCATTCAAGCGGTGCTAGTTTGGACACTAGCGAGCACGTCCAAACGAGCAACAATCTTCAAGACTCCAGACCAGGCCGATCTCGTCGTGGGGTAATAAAATATTACATAAAATCAACAGCGATTATCGGCCGTGGAGAACTCAGAGTCCAAGTCAATTGTAGATGCTTCCCGGCTGGAAACAGAGTGATCGGCAGAATGCGGGGTTATACCCTGCCCGTCGGCAAACTGCTATAGGTTTTCTATATTCTATAGATTGCGATTTGCTCTGCCGAGGGGCAATTCCCGTCTAACGCACATATAAAACGGCCTTTGTTGCCATATATCATATTTCGTGTCTGGCCGGATACATTTTTCCTTTGCTCGAGTATTCGTGCTTGAAGATTCTAATACCCCAGACAAAACTGTTTGCCATAAACATGGCCTTCTCTCAATTGAGGTACTGGCTCGGAAAGGCCCAGGTGCCTATAGATCCTGGGCTATCAACGGCGCAGCTCATGTTGACAAATGATGATCTTCGGCCAGGTGAGACTAATCTCAGCAACATAACAAGATTTTACCTTGTCAAGTCCATTGATTCGTCATTGCCAATTGCAAAGCTCCAAACTCTGTCGTGTTCCAAACTAGTCGCACCTCTGATCCGTAACTTGACATCACGCTGACACCAGCATTTTGTATCCTACCTACAGTTGAGCCAGAACGTCGCCAGTGGGGGTGGCTGAATTTTGTTGCATTCTGGATTGCGGATTCCTTGAACGTGGTAAGTGCGCATTGACAGGTCTTCATACAGTCTATAGCCGCATGTTCTGTTTTTCCTTCTTTATTTTCATTTTTATTTTTATATTTTTGAGTACTTGTTCATTACGCCGATCTTATCTGACCTTTTTTGTCAGAACACCTGGATGATATCCTCCTCGATGATAGTAGATGGCCTTTCTTGGTGGCAATCATGGTTATGCGTCTGGATAGGTTACACAATTTCGGCTCTTTTCGTCTGTCTTATTGGACGTATCGCCGCTGTCTATCGCATTCCATTTGCGGTGACCAATCGAGCTTCATTTGGCATCTGGGGGTCATTTTGGCCAATCGTCAACCGGGCCGCAATGGCCGTTATTTGGTACGGTGTACAGGTATGTGAGTCCGCTCTATTTGTGCGTTCTAGACTGGCTGATTGTCTTTATAGACTTATTTAGGAGGTAAGATAGGACCTGAGGATAATTCTGACCTTTTATTTAATCATATTTTACTCAGGTGAATGCGTAACGTTGATGATTGGAGCCATATGGCCCAGCTACAACAAATTGCCTAATTCAATCCCTGTGTCTGCGGGGGTTACTACAAAACAGTTTGTGAGCTTTCTAATTTTTTGGCTGATGTCTTTACCGGCTCTTTGGTTTCCCATTTATAAGATCAGGCATCTTTTCACGGTCAAAGCATATTTCTCGCCAGCTTGCGCTATCGCATTCTTTGGATGGGCTATTGCCCGCGCTCATGGACTTGGTCCAATCATAACCCAACCGAACACCGTACAAGGCAGCGTTTTAGCTTGGGCGTTTGTGAAGAGTATCATGAACTGCATTGCAAACTTTGCTGCCCTTGTCATCAACAACCCAGACTTTACGCGATATGCCCGCGATCCTAAGGATTCGCTATGGCCACAGCTGGTGACAATCCCTGTTGGCTTTGCCGTCACCTCCTTTATCGGCATCATCGTTTCCTCTTCCTCAAGTGTTATTTTTGGTCAAGCCGTCTGGAACCCTTTGACGCTCCTTGGGATGTTCCTAGAAGGAGCAAGCTCCGCAGAGAGGTTTGGAATCTTCGTCATTGCGGCAGGCTTTGCTCTAGCGCAGCTGGGGACAAATATTGCTGCAAACTCGGTATCAGCAGGTACTAACCTCACTGCCCTCTTACCTCGATTTTGCACAATCCGACGTGGCGGATACCTATGCGCGGCTATTGGGCTTGCGATGTGTCCTGTAAGTACTCGCTATGTTTGATTGGGGCCTGTAATGCTCATTTATCTTCACAGTGGACTCTGGTTGCATCTTCCAGCCAGTTCACGCTCTATCTCTCCGCGTACTCGGTCTTTCTTTCTGCGATTGCAGGGGTCATGGCAAGCGACTATTATCTAGTACGCAAAGGATATCTTGATATCCAAGCTTTGTATAGCGCTCGCAAAGATGGCCCATATTACGGTAACTTCGGAATCTCATGGCATGGATATGCCGCCTATCTGTGCGGCATTCTGATCAATATTGTTGGCTTTGCGGGTGCTGTCGGGGTCGATGTCCCCGTTGGAGCAAAATACGTTTATGATATCAACTATTTTTCGGGGTTTATTGCCTCCGGGGCAGTGTACTGGATTCTCGCCAGCCTATTCCCTATTCCAGCGACAAGCGACAGATGGAATGAAATTCCCTACGAACCGCATCACATGTCAGACGCGGAGGAGAAGAAAGTGGAAGATGTCTGAAGCGGGACTATAGGACTACCATCAACCCGGCATCGTTGGTATGCCCCAATTTCTATGGCTGGACAATATTGCAGATTGAAACGAATATTATACAGCGATATAAGTTTTACGATGAGGCATAGAGTGTATTTATGATTTTCCCAGCATACATATTTGATATCTCGACATTGTCTCATGTGCTAAATGACGAATGGGTTAATTATACGATCCTTAAATATGTATTCTTGTCGAGTTATTGTCTTTTCGTTGCGGGTAAGCCTCTCCCCTTTCGACTGGGTTTAGGGTAGCCAGTCGTGCGTAGTGGTGCGTAGTGGGAGCCGGCCAAGTTTTATTTACTTCCCGCGGAAAACATTGTGACCCTAGATCAACTCTGAGGTCAGGTTTATATCTATATATTCATCGAGTAATTGGCGCATTCTTTGTTCTTATAGTCTGACCTGTCACACATTTTGATCGAGTAATGCTGTCTGGTCGGCTACTAATGGCGGATTTCCATCGAGTAACCAAAATTTCGTTCTTGCACTAGGACATTTCGCTCGCATGGCGACAAACGGCTATGAACCCTACGAGCTTAATAATATCTCCTCCAACAGTCACTTATTATCAACCTCCTTTTCTGTTACTTTTGAATTTCTGTGGGCATTTCTATGCGAGAACAATTGAAAGCCTTTGGGTCGTTGAAGTCAGCTTTTGATTAGCATCATAATAAAGGTACTCAGGTACCAGAAATAAAAGACACAGAAACTCCCAAGTTGCCATGAGTGGCGCGAGCGTGCCATTTCCGCCAACACAATAAGTATTTCCAGTGAGACTTTGGTCTGTGGTTTTTCTGGTGCTTCGAGCACTCCGGGAATACAACGAGTCATTTTAACACGAAACGTATGCCCTTTGTATAAACATTGACTGGTTGTTCTCCTCGGTTTATCCTCGATAATGTCTAATTCAGCTTACGGTAGTTTCAACGTTGGGATTTCAATATCCCGGTCTGTCCAATACAGCAGGCCCACCAACATATCGACTCTGGGACGTGATTTGTTGTTAAACTGAAGAATCCCGGTATCCATCCGCTTGATTCCGTTTCAAATCGGAGGTGGTCCTCGAATCGAGTTAGTGTGGATTCGCTACCCCGAACGAATTCCTCACCACTTTTCACGCGCCCGAGGCGGGGTATTGATTCTTTTTAAAATATTGGATAGCGGATCGCTTTGGGTAATTATTTAGTTGCTGAGATATTGTTTTTTGCTATCTACTCATCTCCCGTAGCCCGAGAACCGGACAATAACATTGGCGGCGTTGTCTTCATGCGCGAATTCTTGCTCTTGGGTACAATTGCTTGTCAAAGGCTTGGTAAGCTTATCACTGAAAGACCCGTGATTAATTGGGATACAGTTGGTTAGGATGCACTGACATGCAAGCCACAGTCACATCGAGAGTGCATGGCTTATCGGCATTCATTTACTGCCCCTTTTGCAGCAGTCGATCGTTTCCAGATTGGAAAACTGTGGCTTGTTAGATCCAATGGTCACACTGTTCGTTGACCGTAGCACCTCTTCACCTCAAGGTCTTGGTGTCACCACCTTATCACTCACCTAGACTCCGTCGGGAATCCGATATTATGCAAATTTACATACATACTGCCAGACGAATTACTAGGTACTGGCCAGGTTATGCCGAAGACCTGTGAGCCTTAAGCACCTGCTGGCTTGAATGTATCAAAGGAACATGGACTTTTATTTACACTGGTCTATTCTATGAAAGCTATAGACAGTCAAGGTCCATTCTAAAATAGGTGAAGATAACTTTTATTTACTTTACTGACTGAGAAATTATTTTCAGAGGCTAGCACCTAGAATAGTTGCTTGTTATCTTCGCCTAGTGTAATTTCTCAACCGGCGAATAGTTTCAAGTTACTGAAAGATTATCCTAGCGAAATCCGAACTGTGTGTTGCGTGACTAGATGCCTAGCGCTTCCAAGAACCTATGCAGACCTGGCTTTCTTGGATTAAGCTTTGCAGAAATAGTTTACCCGTGCATAAATTGGCTTATATTATACAGTTGTTCTTAGAGTGATATCTCGGTCTCCGACGGTGACAGATCGTCCGAATCCGTGATTCCTATTATCTGGAAATGGCGATGTTGCATTGGCAAGAAACTCTGGGCTTCCGGTATCCTGGTGAGTTGGATGAGTCTTAATATCGCATGAAGGGCTTTTATCCCATTGGTTTCAAACGAAGTGATTACCATATCCTAGAAGAAGGGGAGAAGTATAAAAAGAACATTGTGTCCGCTCGAAGATTGATCATCTCACCAGTAAATTCTTTCTCAATTGCCTGCTTTTTATGCAGCGCCTCGCTCGATCTACTTCAAGTTAAAGATATAACCATCACCATGAAGATCTCAGCATCCATTGTCGGTACAGCCCTGCTCGCAACGTCTGTAGTTGCAGCACCTCTCACCTCGCAACGCCAAGCACGCCAGGAAAGTCGCCGAGTTGCCAGAGCTGCGGGTCGTTCCAGTCATCCACCCTACAAGCCAGGCACATCTGAAGTGCTACACTTGAATGAGACATCTCAAGCAGAGTATAGCACCAACTGGGCCGGCGCTGTGTTGATTGGCACCGGATATACGTCTGTGACTGCGGAATTTACAGTCCCGAGACCCAAACTTCCTACTGGTGCCTCCTCAAGCACTCAGTACTGTGCCTCTGCGTGGGTCGGAATCGATGGCGACACCTGCTCCACGGCCATTTTGCAGACTGGGATTGACTTTTGCATCCAAGGCAGTACCGTGTCATACGATGCGTGGTACGAATGGTATCCTGACTACGCCTATGACTTTTCTGGCATCTCAATCTCGGCTGGAAATGTGATTAAAATTACCGTCGATGCTTCCTCCAAGACCACTGGTACTGCCACCGTGGAGAATGTGTCCACTGGAAAATCTGTCACCCATAGTTTCACCGGTGGTGTTGACGGTGATCTCTGCGAGTACAATGCTGAATGGATCGTGGAGGACTTCGAAAGTAACAGTTCTTTGGTGCCTTTTGCCAACTTCGGTACTGTGACATTCGAAAATGCCGAAGCCACGAGCGGTAAAAGTACCGTTGGACCCTCTGGTGCTACAATCATCAACATCAAACAGAGCAACTCGGTTCTGACATCGTCTTCGGTGTCCGGCAACAGTGTCACTATTGAATACATCTAAATTCACACACGGAGAGGAAGCAAACTGGTTTGCTAGAGGTTTGTGGTGATTAAGCAAGCTATCATGGCATAGGGATGATGGAGAGTTTTGCTAGAAAAATGAAAACCTATTTTCAGTAAAGTGCCGGCCACTCTGGCTCGATGTAATTAGAACATGTATAGCATTGAGCTTGACTGTAGACCATATATACTGATCAAGAATGCATCATCTCTTTATTGTAAGCCTCTATCTGCCCAAGTGATTTGTCATTCTTAGTCGCGAAATCAACGTCCCTCGGATATTCTCTTACAAAAACCTTTACACGTATTTGTCCTCGGGCACAAGCCAAATGCCTTCTATCGATCAGTTTACCAACTCTCGGTCAAAAAATAGACGCGTCTCTTGATATTTCCAGGACTCATATTCATCTATCTCTAATATCTGAAAGGCGCGAATTGAGCGACTGGGGCCATTATTCGTTTTCTTACAAGACCAACATAATCTTAAGATTTCAGTCATCGTTATCTCGTATAAATCGTGAATTAATGGTTCAGTATTTAACGACATCAAACTAACACGATTTTGAGGTACCACCATGCCAGTATTGCGGATCGAAACAAGCGCCAACGAATAGTTATTGAAATCGACCTTAAGCAAGCGTCCAAGGGTGCTCTCCATGGCTTACAGTACAATAATCGGCCAAATCATATCGGACAACATTATTCGTGATGTGAGAGCAACTGAATTATTTCTCAGGGCCTCCCGCGTGGTGAGCTTGAGAAAGGATATCCGAGGGCCGATGACCCATGATAGTTGAATGTATCTGTCTTGTCGACCCTATGGCCAGATGGCAAAACTGACTTTCCGGGGTCATCAGGTATTCTGACCCCGTAAAATCGCCATAGAGCATCCTGTAGCACGTCATAGCAAGCACCATATCGCAAAACCGTACATGTTGTGAAATTAATCATGGTAGAGGAGAGACGAGGGTGGTGGAACTTTTGCTTCCCGTAGTCAATAATAATGTCCGCGACACTCAAAATCTCTGGTTCAATGCTTTCGACTTCAGACTTTGTTCCTTTTCCCGTCATGTTCGCCGATGACCCCATCAAAGGGAGTTCCTCTGTGGTGGCCAGTCGAGATAGTTCTTCCTGTAATGCACCACCATTGACCAGCATTGCAATAGTTCCCGCAACGACACACTGTGCCAACGTTTCGGCAGGGATCTTTCGTATAATGGGATGATCAGACTGGTATGGGGCAACGACTCCAATGGGGACATCTAAATCTACGCTCAAGAGTTTGACCATACTTCTCTCGGTTGGCGAAAGTACATGAAGGGCACAATGGAGAGCGTAGCTGCCTATCATCGCGTGTCGCTTGTTTGGTTGACGTTGCTTGGTGAGGAAAATCCGGGTCAAGGCCTCGGGGTCGATCGCGACAATTCCATAGCCGACATCAGCCGGAATGATTGCAATTCCACCTTTTTTGAGAACTTCAAATACCATCTTGGCATCTTCTTTTGGATTTATGTTATGCTGCTTCATTTTACTCCCACGAGATCTGCGGGTAAATCGAAATGAAGGGTACGTTTGGCTGTTGTTGCATGCAAAAAAGGAACTACGAACAAAATCCAGCACGCCAGATAATATGGTATATAGCAGTAGATTCAGGCCACAATAAAACTCATACCTAGTGTCATCTACCTATCGAGAAAGGTGGCATCACTTCTGTGGGGTTATACGGTGTGTGACAGAAAGGAACAGTGACGTGAAAAGTCATGCAGGCCTCATGTAAAAGAGCCATATCAAGAACAGTTGCCACTTGTTCAATTGCATTATGACGGATATGGTGGGACAAGGTCAAGTAACATTTCATCAATGCTACTCTCAATGGTGAGATCCAACTCAGAATACATTCATTACTGGATCCTCACATGTGATTCATTCGAAAGAAATTCCCCACGACTTGCTCCCTTAATATCCTCCAGCTGCGATGTGGTGACATTCACTGACTCGGTAGGCCACACAGCGTGCCAAACTCCTCGTGCACGAATAGAATATTCATTTCCCTTATCAAGTGTCATTGTAGGCAAATTGATTGTAGTTTGCAGGGTTTGGCGTGGAAGTATTTCCACTAAATCATCCCTAGAGGCAGGGAGTTTGCGTGATATCTTTATGATAGGAACGGGCATTGTCCGATGCGTTGCTATGTCCCGAACCTCAAAGATCCCTAGCACGCCGGCTTGGGGGTCTAACGGGGTAGCCCATCTGAGAAAGGTAACGGGAAAGTCCGCGGCATTGTGGACTGATGCTGTGATATGAATAGCGGGCGGTTGCTGTGCCCCGATGATTGGGACCTGAGACGTCAATGTGACCTGCAGACTCAAGCCTGAGTCCATGTTTCGCACGTGGAGTTTCTGCCGCACAAAGGAGGGAAATGAGCAAACTGTGGATTTCTCACAACTTTGGTAAATAACAATTAAGATGAGGCTGTTATTTCACGAAAGAAAGAAGAGTGAAAGAAGATAATTGTTCCCAGGCCGAGCCTTGACTTGTGCATTCATAGGGAGTAACCTCCCGTATGTCCCTGCAGAATTATATTTAACCAATAAAATAGACGTCCCACGCCGAGTCTTCTCGTCAGGGTCATCTCTGCCCCATCTTCCCGGCCTCCGTGTCACTCCCGTCTCTCTAAGGCTTGGCCTCCGCGGCACAATGTGTGGGGTTCCTCGACACGCTTAAAAGCCAAGCCACTGTTTGCTCTAAACAGTTATCTGACCGAGCTTTCTAATGGCTGAGTCTAAGCATTCTGTCTGCAGTCAAGTCTCCGGCGCCGTCTTGGGTGGTATCTTGGCACCGGAGTCCGGCGATAAATGCAGGGTCAATGGCTTGGCGCCATATAACGAAGAGGGGATGTAACAAAACATGATAATGGTTTAGCAATGTCCTGCGAGATTAACATGCTTTTTCTGCTATCTTGTCGGAATAATGGTCTTATCTAGTATTAATGTCTCTGTTCAGGCCTCCAGTGAGCTCTTTTTGTGGTCGGTAGATACCGCTGTATAAACCTAGGGCAACTGATTTGTATACTGAATAGAGAGAGGGATTTGTATATACTCTATTGGCATTGGACAATCAGCGGTCTTATGGATTCACCTGCTCTTCCTCAGACAATGTCAAATGCAACTACCTACTACCGACCGAGTTTCATGTACTTCCCCTCAATCTCGATATACAAGTTGCTGTGCAGCGTCTATTGGAGGTACGGGATTCCGCCGGGCCAAGAAGACAGTAAATAGGAGATCTGCAGAGAGGTAGCTATCTTGAAGAATCTACGACCAGTTAGAAGCCTCCTTCGTGGCTCCTTCGTCCTATACAGGGTCAGCCACGAGTTGTCATGGCTGCTCAATGCTATGGAATACCACCTTCTTTCTCCGCAATGGCGATGGGCGATCACGATCATTGAGATAATCGGCAGACATTCAGAGTGTCGCAATCAATACCCATCCAGCTATAAGTATCCGGTCCCCACGACGTGAATGAAGATATCCAAGCATCGAAACGCAATCACAGGTCATCATACATTGAAACTCGCCATGCGTTTCGCTACACTGTCCACTGCTCTCCTGGGCCTCGCCCAATACGTGCACAGCTTACCAGTCGAAGCTGATGGAGCATCTGTGCTTGATGTCGCATTGACTCAAGTCAGTGATACCCGCATCAAGGCCGTGGTGAAGAATTCTGGCAAGGAAGATGTGACCTTTGTTCATCTGAACTTTTTCCGGGATAGTGCACCCGTGAAGAAGGTCGACGTTTTTCAAAATGGTATGCTAAGACTCTGAGCGGACCTACCTCCAATGCTAACTTCGAATAGATGAGGAGGTTACCTTCGAAGGAATCAAGCGCCGTTTCAAGCTTGAGGGTCTCACCTCGGAGGCCCTTACCTCGCTTGCGGTAGGAGAGACCTTTGAGGATGAGTTCGACATTGCGACTACCAGTGACCTATCAGCTGGAGGCCCACTGACATTGCGGTCGAGTGGCCTTGTGCCTATCGTCACCAATGGTACAGTCACAGGATATCTGCCTTACCGCTCGAATGATCTCAAAATCGAGGTAGATGGTGTCAAGGCATCTCGTGTTTTGAAAGCTATCAAGCCTCTCAATCGACGCACGTCCGAAAGCTGCAGCAGCTCTAGCAAGAAGGCGGCACTGGACAAAGCCCTGAGCAACACCGTGTCATTGGCAAATGCTGCCGCCTCTGCTGCGCTCTCTGGCTCTGCCTCCAAGTTCAGCGAGTACTTCAAGACAACCTCCACCGCCACTCGCCAGGTCGTGGCCGCTCGATTGAAGGCTGTCGCCAAGGAGGCTGCTTCCACTTCTTCGGGCTCGACTAAATATTATTGCACGGATGTGTACGGGTACTGTGAGACTAATGTCCTCGCCTACACACTTCCGTCTCAGAACGTCATCGCCAATTGCGATATCTACTATTCCTACCTGCCGGCTTTGGCAAGTAGCTGTCACGCACAGGACCAGGCCACCACAACCTTGCATGAGTTCACCCACGCCCCAGGTGTCTACAGCCCGGGAACTGACGACTTGGGATACGGATATTCTGCTGCTACTGCCCTCTCTAGCAGCAACGCGGTGTTGAATGCGGACTCTTATGCGCTGTACGCGAACGGTGAGTTTCTCGATCACAGACTTCTCCGGGGAGGCGAAAACTAACGAGACTATAGCAATCTACCTTGGATGCTGATCGCCAGTGTATTACATCCGCGGGGGTCGAAAGAGGCTGCCCGCGATAGGTATTTGGGATCAATTTCGCCGGTGTGTTGCGGATATTATGCTAAAGGGGTCGAATTGATGTCATGGGTTGAAGTTGTAGTTACGTCAATGGGAATTTGAAGTCATGGTGGAATTTCTTGCCTAGCTGGAGAAAGCTCGTAGAGGCCAGGCAGTTTGAGAGCGTAGATCTACTTCGGAGTAATATCGCCAGATTTTCATGTTCCGTAGTTGCCAAATCTGAATGAGTGAATATGCATATATTCATCGAGTTTCTAGGCTATCGATGCACCTCTGTCGGATGTCACAAATCACCGGTTTAGCAGCATGAATGCATCATCCCGGCTCAAGCAGGACATATTCCCAATGACCCGTCAAGTAGAGGTGAGACATCTCGCGGCCAGGATCATCGCCGCTCCAGAATGTACATCCAGTGGAACACTTCTGGCGCATAAACCGAAGTGGCAACGGGACCAGCAGGTGCCTTTAATGGGATACGCGCCCGGAGGGTCCAGTGGTCTGCTAGATGATGAAGTCCATCAAAGCGTATGCTTGAATATGAGAGGGCAATCCATGTCGAGCCCTTCTTGGTCAAAGGAGAAAGTTGTAAGGCCAATAGCTCCACGGGCCTCAGCGTGATGGTAGGGTTCATTAACAGCATTTTTTGAACAGCTGGGCAGCTAGTCAAAAGGTCATGACGTGATAAGTGATGATCTTCGGAAGTGGCTAGAGCGTCGCTGGTGCTTTTGTCGAGAATCACATCGAATGGCGCGAATTCAGTTAGAGTAGAGACATCATTCCAGGACCGTAAATCAACATGTAGCCAGTGCATGGCATGTGTCGGTTCCTTCTTGGTCTCCAACTCTTGACCACGACGGACAGCTTCAGTAGAAAAGTCAGCATTCTGCGATAGATTGCGATGGATAATTAGTCAAGTATAACAACACAATAGACAGAGGACAACTTACCACGATGCCATTGCCCTGCCACTTTCGCTCGATACATCGATCCCGTAGCTTATTTCCAAGTTGTGAGACGCCAGGACCAAGGTGCAAGACACGTGGGGTCATGATCATGTCCTTCTGGATGTTAGGCCGGTTTTCTAGGTCTGATAGGACTGCATCTAGAAGCGCTTCACCAGAGTTCAACCATTCACCCACATCACAGCCTGTCGCAAAGCGAGTATCCCAGAATTCAGGGTCGTCATAGTCGGGGGCCCCTTTAAGCTTCGTGTGTATTCTTGTCATCCTCGAACATGACAATAATAAAGTAATGGGTTCGCGATGAAGGGACCAGAATTTGCTTGGCGGTCAGGAAAAGCTGACCAATATTGTTTGGCGGGGCGGCAGGCCAAGGCTCCGCCGTTCCGCCCAACATGATGTCAGGTACTTGATGGACAGAGCTTTCTTACGGAGGGGAGAGGGAGAAGAGGATGATAATACTCTATGGAGGAGCACCAGACAAAATAGGGCTATGGACTAGGACAAGCAAACAAAGGAGGCCCGATCCCTGAGGCAATCATGCCATGCCAGTACTCCAATCTGCACAATTGGTCGATCCTCCTGACAATTCGACTTGCGGTGGGAATTCAATTAACTTGATAGAGCGCGGTGGGCGTGGATACCTTTATCACCAGGAGAAGAATCTCCTCTTGCGTGTGCAATGTACTTGGAGGGCCATAATCATTTCCGAAAACAGGAAATGGTTTCTCCGGGCGTATGCTAGATATATGGTCTCATTTATTGCAAGGCAGCGACCAATTCATCCACACTCTTCATCTGGCGGGCATTGTTCTCACCCACGTCTAACGCAACCAAGAATCGGCTGACACAGTTGTACCCAGCGATACCAGTGGTAAGCTCCACAATCTCACGATCATCAAATCCGACTGTCTTCAATTCAGCGAAAACCTCATCTTCCACAGTGATAGTCTGAGTCATTTGGTCGGTATAGCGTAAAACGGCCCGTTGTTGCGGAGTAAGCGCGCTCTTCTCGAGCTCAGCAACATCCCCCGTGGCGGTGGAAGGTAATGTGCGAGCAGCCTGCAATTCAGCGGGCTTGATGCCACCCTTAAGAGCTAGTGGGGCGTGGGCATTCCATTCATAGGTAGCATTGTTAAGCACAGCGACCCGGCAAACCGCCAGCTCCATGACACCAGAATCAACGAGGGTACGGGAGCGGATAGCTCCAATAAAGCTGTTCCAGCCATCAGCAACAGGTGGGCTATGGAGGAGGGATAGGTCAAGCGGAATCAATGGTCGAGGATTTCTACGCGCAGCGATGCGGGCATAGGTATCAACGGTGTCGGCCGAGGCATCGGCAGGCGGGGTGGAAGGGGCGTAGGGCAAGCGCATGGTGCGAATTTGATTGATAGGGCCGGTACGTGTATGCTTAGAGAAAGCAACAGGAGCACAGAATGGATCAATCTCGACAGTATGTCTAAGAGTTAACCTGCGGGAAATGTGCATGTTCAGTTACGGCATCTTGTCGATGTCATAACCGAGCGGGTGTATATGGGGGAAAGGTATTACCCGGTGTGGGGGAGGGTTTCTCCGGGGCCGAACTATGTGGGCAGAAGTGCATGTATAGACAGGACTGCTGTATATTCTTACAGACAGTTTAAGGGGTAACATGTACAATGACGGATTGTAACAGAGAAAGCGTATGTCAATTCTGTTATTGCTTAGGTCTACTATAAGATCTCTACTTCCTCAGTTATATCTAGTCCCTTTGAGTGTCACATATAGGATATGCAGACTCCAATTACCCCAGACTATTCTGCTATGGAAACTAGCAGAATCAAGGCCGACGCTGACGCCTAGGCAATGTCATTAATGGGAGTCGAACTACGTGGTCGGCAGTGAGTAAAACACACTCCCGGTGCCGCCCCCCGATGCCGACACAGCTCCCCGCATGCGGATAATTTCGCTTCTTTTCAACCGCATGCTTCGTCCACTCGCCTCGGCATTTGCCATTCCTCGTCGAACATTCTCTACCTCAATCGCCAATATGAAGCACCATCTGATGGTCGGTACTTGGACCAAGCCCGGTCGCATATATACGGTGCAATTCGATGATGAAGCCCTCACTCTGGAGCTGGTCAAGAAGACCGACATCCCCGAAGCTGAGCCAATCTCATGGATGACCTTCTCTCACGACAAGAAGGCCATCTATGGTGCCGCTATGAAGAAGTGGAACAGCTTCGCCGTCAACAGCCCGACTGAGATTGTTCATCAAGTGTCGCACCCCGTTGCTGGCCACCGTACGTTTCAAGAGTCCCTTGCAGATCCCCCGCTGACCTTGAGCAGCTCTCGCCCCCAGCAGCGAGACCAACACCCGTGCCATCTTCGTCCTCGCTGCCCACAAGCCCCCCTATAATGTCTACGGCAACCCCTTCTACAACTACGCCGGCTACGGTAACGTGTTTTCCGTCAAGCCCGACGGAGCTCTGGATAGCAATGTACAGAACTACGAATATGACCCCAAGACCGGTATTCACGGCATGGTGTTCGACCCGACAGAGACCTACCTGTACTCGGCCGATTTGTCGGCCAACAAGATCTGGACGCATCTCAAGGACCCCCAGACGGGTGAATTGACGCTTGTGGACTGCCTGGAGGCCCCCGAACCCGGTGATCACCCTCGCTGGGTCGAGATGCATCCCAGCGGCAAGTATCTGTACGCGCTGATGGAGGCCGGTAATCGATTGGCCGTGTACGTGATCGATGAGCGCACCCACAAGCCGGTGTTCACTCATATCACGTACCCTCTGCTGCCCTCTGGTGAGTGATGCGACCGTTCCCACTCGCGACTGTGTTAACCCAATAGGCCTTCCCCCGCGCAACAAGTACCGTGGCGATGTCACCTTCTGCACCAAGAGCGGAGAATACCTCTTTGCGACCACCCGATCCAACCATTTTGACGTGACCGGCTACATCACCGCGTTCAAGCTTGGCCCGCACGGCGAGATCGAGCGCCAGCTGTTTATCAACCCCACGTCAACCAGTGGCGGCCACTCCAACGCTGTCAGCCCTTGCGACTTCAGCGACGAGTGGTTGGCGCTATGCGATGACCAACTCGGATTCGTGGAGATGTACCGCTGGCGCGACGAGAAGCTCGCACGCGTGGCGCGTGTGGATATTCCGGAGCAAGGGTTTGGTATGAACGCGATCTGGTACGATTAAATGATAATGATAAACATGTAGATGCCAAAATAGAAGACGTTGTATAGAGCTATAGAGGGTAGCATAGTGTATAGAGTGTAGAGTAGAGTGTAGTGTGCGCAATGTATAGTAGAGTAGTGAAGTATAGCGTGGGGAACATCGGCAGTCGAGTTCGGTTGTGCTTTGCTTTCATCCGGAAGGGGCAAATCGAATGCCGAAGCTCTGTCTATATGAGACTTCGGTCTTGGATCCTTGCTTCCTGCTTGATTCTTGACTCTTGATTCTTGACTAACTCAACTCTTGAGTTGCACATCCCTCATCATGCCTACTCCCGGTCTCCTCTACGTCACCATGCAGCCCAAGGGCTCGCTGCCAGACACTCAATTCCACGACTGGTACAACAACGAACATGGCCCTCTGCGTCTGCGTCTGCCCTTCGTCACCAATGGCTTCCGTTTCCGTGCGACCGATGGCGAGCAGCCCGAGTATGTGGCTCTGTACGATATCACCGACATGGACGAATTGACCCGCGAGACTTACTTGTCGCTGCGCACTGATCTAATTAAGACAGAGCGCGAGAAGAAGACCATGGCACAGATTGACGTGGGTCGTCTGCTATACGATCTGGTGGATGAGCGCAGCAGCCCCAACTTCCGTCCGCTGGAGGACCAAGCCGACACAGATGCCGAGACCCGGGGCAGCGTTCTCGTCGCCGTCCGAGTTGCCACTGACCCCACCAAGGAAGCTGATCTGGAGAAATGGTATCGGGAGGAACACTTTGACATGCTCTCTCGAGTGCCTGGATGGCGTCGGAGTCGCCGCTTTGTTACTGCAGCTATTGATTCAGCTGCCCCGCGTGAACACCTTGTCCTCCACGAGTATGCCCCAGTCAACGGTCTCGGAGGCGATGCCCACAAAGCTGCCATGAGCACTCCCTGGGGAGCTCGCCTGATGAGCGACGTGGTGACCTCCAAGAACCGCCGTGTGTATGAGTGGTACTATACCTTTGGCCCTGCTCCCCGTGAGCTGACCTCATTGGCCGCCTCGGATGTCGTTGGACCCTGGAACTCCAACGATGGTCGCACTCGTACATTCCCATCGCCTACCCGCCCGGCTGTCGAGTCCTTCGTCACCACGGCTGATGGTGTCGAGATTCCTTACCGTCTGGAGGGTAGCACCGACCCCTACGCACCCGTAGTGGTGCTGAGCAATTCCATCCTGGTCAACTGGAACATTTGGGACCGGTTCGTAGATGCCTTCTTCGCCCAGAAGCAGAACCAGCGCTACCGCGTCGTGCGCTATCTCACCCGTGGCCGCCGCTCTGCAAGCGGCGAGCAGCCCGTGAACATTGATGTGCTGGCCTCTGACCTCGCCACCTTGCTGGAGGCCCTGCGTGTACCTCCCAAGGCCGCCCGTTTGATCGGTGTCAGCCTGGGTGGTGTCACCGTTCTCAACACCTCCCTCCTCCACCCCGAGCGCGTTGGAGCCTTCATCGCCTGCGACACCAACTCTTCCGCCCCCGAGTCCAACCGCAAGGCCTGGGGTGACCGTGTCGCCATCTGTGAGAAGGAGGGCTCTGTGGACCCTGAAACCAAGGAGCCCATTGTGGGCGAGGAGCTGGCCGAGGTCACAACTCGCCGCTGGTTCGTGCCCGAGTCCTACGAGACCCAGCCTGAGGTTCTCGCCCCGGTCAAGGAGGCGGTGCGCACCAACAGCCTGAAGGGCTTCGCCCACAGTGTGCAGGCCCTCTGCGCCTACGATATCCGCGAGCGTATGGCTTCTGCCACTGTGCCTGGTTTGTTTGTTGCTGGAGCCAACGACGGTGTCCTCCCTCAGACTATGCAGAAGATGGCCACCGATTTGAAGGGTGGTGCTGAGCTCAAGATCATCGACCGTGCCGGCCACTTGCCTATGGTGGAACAGCCTCAGGCCTTTGCCGACGTTGTGACGGAGTTCCTGGCTAAGATTGATGGTTGATTGCATTTATATAATTTCTATGTAGATATATTTTGTCCCTGCAAAAGAGTATATAGGGAAATGACTGAATGTCGTTGATGACCACCCCTTGAACATATCTACCTCCATTCCCTGTAGTGTAATCTGATTGTATTCCCAGTATGAGTGAAACTTCACGGGCATAGTCACGCACAGATTCATCCAGCGACCGTTGAGCCATGTGCCAGGTTGTTCAACGGGAATATCGGGACTAACCACAACTAAGAAATGATCTGATTAGGTGGTCAACAGATAACATAGACATATGTGAAGCTGTCCAGGTGGACAGTTGACTGAGAGAAGTCGAACGGGTCAAGTGGTAGCGGCAGTTCGGCGGGCGAAGGCGGCCAACAGCGAAATACGCATCTTGCGGGGAAACACACTCTGCTTCGGAGCATCTTTCACGCATTCCCTCCTTTTTATCTTTCATTCCCTGCCATGCCTGATAGCAAGATCCCTCAGCCAGGACCAGCTAAGCTGAAGCGCAATGCCGGCCCTGATGAGTGGCTGGAGGCAGCCAAGGACTGCAAGTATCTCTCAGAACCACACATGAAGCAGCTCTGTGAGATCGTCAAGGAATACATGATGGAGGGTAAGCAGGATCGGTCTGTGGCCTCGTCTTCTCATACTGACAATGTGCAGAATCCAATATCCAACCAGTCTCGACACCGGTCACGGTCTGTGGTGACATCCACGGTCAATTCTACGATCTGCTCGAACTATTTCGTGTCTCTGGTGGCATGCCTGATGGCACTGAACTGGAGTCCCCGAAAACCTCTCCCTCCGTTATTACTTCCGCCGATATCGAACCCCCATCCAGCATCAGAGACCCCAAGATTCGCAAGAAGCTCCGTGGCCCTAGCGTGAACTCCAAGGACGAGGAAGAGACGGGCGCCCGAAGTCGATCGGCCAGTGATACTTCTGCAGACCTTCAGCTCAACCGGAACTTTGTGTTCCTGGGAGACTATGTGGACCGTGGATACTTCAGTTTAGAGACCTTAACGCTTTTGCTCTGTCTGAAGGCGAAGTGAGCGACCCTAGGAACTGCAACAATAATAGCACGTCGCTAACCTATTTTTGCTAGATACCCCGATCGAGTTACGTTGGTCCGCGGCAACCATGAGTCGCGACAAATTACCCAAGTCTACGGTTTCTATGAAGAATGCTTCCAAAAATATGGCAGTGCATCAGTGTGGAAGGCATGCTGTCAGGTCTTCGATTTCATGACATTGGGCGCCATCATCGACGGCAAGGTACTGTGTGTTCATGGTGGCCTGAGCCCTGAGATTCGGACACTAGACCAGGTTCGTGTGGTAGCACGCGCACAGGAGATCCCTCACGAAGGTGCATTCTGTGATCTGGTTTGGTCTGATCCAGATGACGTGGAGACTTGGGCCGTCAGCCCTCGAGGAGCAGGTGAGATCCAACATGGTCCCTTGATGCGAGCACGGCTAATGATACTCAGGATGGCTCTTCGGAGACAGAGTCGCGGACGAGTTTTGCCATGTCAACGACCTCTCGTTGATCGCACGTGCACACCAACTGGTCAACGAAGGCTACAAATACCACTTTAACAACCAAAACGTCGTGACAGTGTGGAGTGCGCCCAATTACTGCTACCGGTGTGGTAACTTGGCCTCGGTCTGTGAGATCGGAGACGACCTCAAGCCCACCTTCAAACTGTTTAGTGCAGTTAGTGATGATCAGCGGCACGTTCCAACCTCGCGGCCAGGCCGCAGCGAGTACTTTTTGTAAGATGAGCTGAGTTACCGGCGCTGGCGTTCGGGTATTTCGGAGGGAGCATTATATAATGATTTAGACCAGACTTAATGATGCATACGCCTCTTGGGAAGAAGCATTGTCATGTATGAAGTAGGATGAATGAATACCATTACTACCACAACGGGTTCAACATAGGAAAAGTTTGAGGCAAATGGCCGAGGTCGTGTCCTGTTCCGAGCCCGGGATGTATTCCGAACTTCACGGGTCTAATCCCGAACACCGCATAAAAGACCCCCGGAGTATATGCAGGCTTATTCTGCGTGTTTGACACCATGGAGAAAGTCGACGTTCTTATTTGTGGCAGCGGATCTGCTGGGCTCTGTGCTGCTACTTGGCTTGCACGTTATGGCGTACGCTGCAAGATATTGGAGCGGCGTGATGGCCCTATGAAGATGGGCCAGGCGGACGGCGTGCAATGTCGAACCGTTGAGATTTTTGAAAGCTTTGGGGTCGGCGAAGAGCTTCTTCGTGAGGCTTACCATGTCCTGGAAGTCAACTTCTGGGCCGACAATGGTGCTGGTGTCATCAAACGGACAGGTCGAACAGCGGATACGCAGCCAGGTCTATCGCATCAGCCTCATGTTATTCTGAACCAAGCCCGAATTAACGGACTTCTCATTGAGCTGATGCGGAAATACAACGATCAGCAAATCGACTACGGATACAATGTGACCGGTGTTGAAGTGAATAGCGCCCTTGTTGCAGACCATAACGCTTATCCGATCAAAGTCACCGCAGAGAAGAATGGAAAGACAGAAACCTTTGCGGCGAAGTATGCACTTGTAAGTGCTCATTGATTTGTATCCAAGTCTCATTCTGATTCACCTCTAGGCCTGTGATGGGGCACACAGTGTTGTCCGTAAAGCCCTAGGGTACAAGATGATTGGAGACAGCAGTGATGCCGTCTGGGGCGTCATGGACATGGTTCCTCGAACAGACTTCCCTGATATCCGCAAGAAATCGACTATCCGGTCTCAGGCCGGAAACATTCTGATCATCCCCCGCGAGGGCGATAGCGACAACCTCACACGCTTCTATATTGAACTTGCCGCAGGAACCAACCCGAAAGAGGTGACCCTGGAGAATCTGCAGGCGCAAGCGCAAAGCATCTTCCACCCATACAAAGTGGAGTTCGTGAAAACTGTTTGGTGGTCTGCGTATGCAATTGGTCAACGTCATGCCGATTTCTTCCACAAGGACAACCGAGTCTTTTTGGCAGGTGATGCTTGTCATACCCACTCTCCGAAGGCTGGACAGGGCATGAACGTCAGTCTTCAGGATGGCTACAATATCGGCTGGAAGCTCGGCGAAATACTCACCGGTCTCGCTACTCCCTCACTTCTGGAGACTTATGTCCTGGAACGCCAAAAGGTCGCCATTGATCTGATCAACTTCGATCGCTATTTCTCCAAACTGTTCTCATCTGGAGCTGCAGCTTCGCCTGCCGAGTTCCAAGAAGGTTTTATCAAGTCTGGTAAGTATACAGCGGGTTTGACAGCAAAGTATGATATCTCGCCTATCACATCTGCATTGGAATCGGCGAAACTCGCCTCAAATGTGGCCGTTGGCATGCGACTGCCGAGTGCACAGGTTGTACGCTTCTGTGATTCTCAGCCCTTGCAACTCATGAAGTGTCTCAAATCGGATGGCCGATGGCGCATCATGGCTTTTGTCGGTGATCTAGTGGTTCCAGAGAATCGATCAAAACTGAACAGAGTTTGTCTGCCCATTTGTTCCAATGTTGATCACCATCTAATGTTTCTTTCTTTTAGTTTGGAGATTATCTTAGCTCAGAGGAGGGGCCAATTCACAAATTCACGCCTAAGAGCCAAGACATTGACAGCCTGATCGAGACTATCGTGATTGGCCATGGGAAGCGTCATGAAGTTGAACTGGAGCAAATTCCCAAGTGCTTCTATCCACTATCTGGGGAGAATCAAACAAGAGGTAACTTATGGTTTTTACGACACGACTATGCCGTTCCATACTGACATAACTTTCCAGATCTGCACAAGATTTATTATGACGATGAAAGCTACAATCAAGGTCACGGCCATGCATACAAATTCCTTGGCATTGATCCGACGCAAGGTGCTATCCTCATTGTTCGCCCTGATCAATGTAAGTGATTTGCCATCCTTTGCCAATCTGCTCATAAACTAACAGATAATGACTCCCAGATGTGTCTGCGGTTATGGGCTTGGGTGACTATACGGAGATCAGCAAATTCTTTGCCGGTTTCCTCAAAATCCAAACGTAGGTTGACACCTGCGGGCCTCCAGAAGGCAATGCACTAAACAAATGTGTTGTAGGGGCGTTGATGATGCCTATCGAGTCACCGGTCAATTTGGTAGCAGACTGTAATGTGGCTTGGTTGTATGGATAAATTGAAAGCAATATGAAGGTTTTACGATGACGTCCTTTCGTAGGCTTCTGGTTGGGGGTGATATACATATCTTTGCGGTTCAGGATGAAAGTGTGATGTTTTCCTCGATATCGATGCGTTGTGATTTTCTAGTATATATGCTGTTGTTGGTAGACACAATGGTCATTATATTGATACTTGATGAATCTGGCCATATGATTTTACATCGTTCAGTAAGCGGAGAAGTCGTAAAACGTTGTCTCACGCGCTAAGGTAAAACTGAATTAAAAAGACATGAATTAGACACTGTGATAGTACTATGGTTACATGCTATATCAGAGTACATATCGGAAGCTCTCGATCTCATGGTCAGTCTTGTTGGAAAGCTCGTCCTGCAATTCTTCTCGTTCGGTCATCTCCCTAGGAGAACCGTAAAGTCTATCCCTTCGGCGATTTTCCCAAATGTAAAAGACGTATAGACAAATCAGGAAGAAAATGCCAAAGGCAAGGCCTGCCATTGCTGCTTTGATTCCGGTCTTTTCATTATTAGCCATGAATAACTGAACGGATATGATAATGACTAACTTGGTATGAAGGCTCTTCTGATGGGATGAAGAATTGAGGTCCCACAATGTTGCCAATACAATATGCCGCAAACATAAGAGAGCTCACAGTACTCTTCTTTGTAAATCCGGCCACGTTCGAACTGATCAGACTCAGTGACAGAGGAATATTAGCAGCAAATACACTGCCAAGGCAGAGCCCGGTCATCTTGCCCGCTCGGTTGGTGTCATCCAGTTTCCAGATAAGAAGCATGCCAATCACTGAGATTGCT